AGAGAATCATGGATCCATGGGCCGCCTCCTGGACGCCCCCTACTGTACTGGGGATGGAGCCTGCAAGAACTTGGCCGACCCTTGGCCGACACTCTATCCACTCGGCCAAACCGGCTAGGCCAGTGGTCAGCAAACTGCGGCCCTTGAGTGTGGCTCTTCCACAAAATACCACGTGCGGGTGCGCACGTACAGTGCGATTGAAACTTCGTGGCCACACTCAAGGGGCCAAAGAGCCGCATGTGGCTCGTGAGCCACAGTTTGCTGACCACTGGGCTAGGGCAAGGCATATGCACTTTTAACAGGCATTCCAGGTACTTCATGGCAGGTGATCCATATACCACAGGTGGAGACATTCTGCTATCAGTAAAATTTCTTCCTAAAACTCATATTAGATCAAATTATTACTTGCTGAAATGCTTTTGATGTCTCCCTTTCATCTAAAAATGCATTGTAAAATCATTCTCATGTGGCCCAGAAATGTCTGCAGTTTCCATTCCTGGCCTTTGAAGAACATCTCTGTCCCCACCGCTCACCTCCTTGTATCCTGTCCCTTTTTGTATCACACACACTCTGTGCTCTATTTATGCCAGATGCTCTTTCCCCCCTCACTTGGAAATTATTAAGGTTGTATTTGTGTTACATCTGCATACCTGCAGTGCCCTCGGAGCCATTCTCCAGCTCGGAACCTGCTGCTCATCCTGCCAGCTACAGCTCCGTTACTCCTTTCCTGGGGAAGCTCTCTCTGAATCGGGCGCCTCACCACCATCCTTCCTCCTCCTACTCTGGCCAAATCCATTGCCCCCCTGTTTCTTGGCATCACTCTTTCTCACATGCATCCAGAACATCGCTCAGGACATACAAAGTCTTTCTTATCTGGTGTCAGTTGACCCAGAGAGTCCATAATGGAGAGATCCCATATTGTTTACATTTTATTCCCAGGCCAGGGATTGCTTTTTACTAAATTTTCACACTATTGTCTTCCTTCAATTTAATGCCTCTTTCCACAGGGACAAGCAGCTTCAGTGCGAAAACAGAAGTAATTTGAGGGAAAGCCAGGGTATGTGGATATCAGCACACTGGCATGTTTTGCCAAAATATTTTTAAATTGTCACTTCCAAATCAGATATTCTTTTCTTTCAAGTTTCAGAAAATTTTTATCTAACCCCAGAACAATGGAACTGTGCCGTATGGAAGGACTAGGGTTGTGTTGGGACTTTACAAAATGCCAGAGTCACCACTATCTGAGTCCTCTGTTCAGTGTCTGTCAGTGTTCTCAGCTCTGACAGACTTGGCAGTGAAGAGGGCTCTACGTCCAGTGACATAATATGGGAAGGAGTTAGAGATGCAGAGTAAGAGGCACACAGAGGAAAGTGAGCAGGGTCACTCCCCGCCCCCCTTCCCCTACCTTCCTTGCCCCCCATTCAGGCAACAAAGGATTATCAGAAGTCACTAATTTAAGTCCGGGTACAAATTTGTGTTCTCTCATTAAAAACAGTGTTTGTGAAATGAATACCTTATCAAGGAGGGGTTTTCAAAGCCTTATTTGAATTGATCTTGAAGTTGTTGACCTTTCTTTACTTTTTGTAGTTGTGCAAGGAATGTAAGTCTTGCTTTGTTGTTGTTGTTGTTGTTTACAATAGTAAATGATAGATGAATGGGAGGATATTTGAGCAATCATCTTTTGGGGGATGCTTTCAAGACAAGTGAGAATAGTTTTCAAAATATGATTTACCCAACGATTTTGCTGAAATAGATTGCAATCATGCTGCTCAACAGGGAACTGGAAATAAGAGAAACTATTGAAAATTCCACGGTGCAAAGTGAGTGTGAAAGTACTAGGACACTCTGACTTACCCGCCGGATTGGTAATGTTAAGGAAGAACAGTTTCCAACTGTTATCAGATTGGAAGTGGCAGGAAGCTGAATGAGGAACTGTGAATTATTCAGTGTTTATCTCCCAGGACCCAGAGATCCCATGTAGATGGTGTGGGAGGGCGGTAGTGACGTGCTGCCAAGAGCTTCAGGTTTGGTCTGTATCACTTTTATTTGCACGCACCACGCAGAACAAAGGGTGGGCGCTGACCTGCAGCTATTCCTAGGGCTGGGCTTGTTCCCTTCCTCGGGATAAAGGTTGCTTCTCAGTTTGGAAAAGCCAAGTGCACCTTCTGAGCACGGAATCGCTGGGCCAAATCTCTTTTTAAAAGACCTGGTAGCGCTGGGTGTGAAACTGAAAAGACTTCCTGATCCGGGGTGTGTATTAATGTCCTTATGTCCCACAAAGGACTCGCGGAGAGTGATCACACCGAGCATAGTAAAGACATAATCCCAACTTTCCTTTGAATTATACAATCATCATTGCTTTTTTATTTTTTTAAGTAAAAGGCTCCGTTCTTTATTAAATAAACATTTTTCTGGCATTTCAGTTTCTTTTCCACTCATTCTGCTACATGACACTCCTATGGGGTTTTCTGGTTCTTCATGGAATTAGCCTACAGAGCATGCACAGCAAACAATAAAATAGCTGCTTTTCATTGAAAATAAAGAGGGGGTGTTTTCCGCTCCCCAACAGTACTCTCCACCACTGCCCCATCACAAGTTGTTGCATTCCCTGCCCTATTGGCAAGACGGCCCCCACCCCGCCTTCTTCCTCCCCAGCTCCGTGCTCTCCTGGGCGGTTTTGGAGCCCGCGCGAGCAGTCCGGTCCTTCAGCGTTCGCTGCCGTCGGCTCTAGGACCCAGGGAAGTCCCCGAGCGAGGTCCGCGGAAAGGCAGCCAGACTCCTCCTTATCTCCAGTGTCAAACTTGACATCAGCCTGCGAGCGGAGCATGGTAACTTCTCCAGCAATCAGAGCGCTCCCCCTCACATCAGTGGCACGCTTCATGGAGATATGCTCCTCTCACTGCCCTCTGCACCAGCAACATGGACTGTCACCTCTCCATCCTCCTCCTCCTCCTCGGCAGCTCCGTTCTCAGCTGCTTCGGGGAACTGACTCTCCCGCCGTCCAATGAAGGTAAGTCCGCCAGGTACCGGCGCGCGGCCCTCCCCGCGGCTACTGCTCCGCGAAGCACTTTCTCACCGAAACATTCTCAGGTCCTTAAGGTGCTTCCGCAAAAAGGCAGTTTGCTCAGAGAGGAACCTGAAGATATGTTTTTATTTTCAAGGCTGTCTTTGAAAACATTTTAAGAGATAATTTTGGATTGCCTAAGCCTAAAATGTGTTTTTAATCGGATACCAATGCAAACGACTACCTTGTTTGACAATGTTAAGCAGAAAGAAAGAAAAAGTCTTTAGTTTTTCAACCCAGGATGGTAATTGTCAAAGAGCCGTGGCAGTATTTTATTTTCTAATTATGACCATGTAGTACTCTGAGAAGTTTAAAAGAAAATTTAACCCACCCTCTCTAGATCTTTTAGTAGGTTTTACCATAATGACAGGTTGTTCCTACTCAGGATCATGGCATTTATGAATGAACTACAAGGAAATTAGAGTTTGTAGAAGCAGAGGGGTGTGTGTGTGTGTGTGTGTGTGTGTGTGATATTTATATTGCAACTGCTGTATCAGTGATGGGTGTCCTGCCACACAATGCTTTGCTCCATGGTACAGGTTCTAATGAGCAGCATATGCCACATTAACATAAGTAATATTTGCAGGAATTACAATAAGCTTAGGTTGGCTGTTCTTTGTTTAAGGGCTTATATTTGAATAGGAGAATGTATATAATGAATAGTGAGAAGATCCTGGGAAGGTATAGTAAATAACTGAACAGCAAATTAAGAAGGAATGTTCATATGCAGCAAATGACATTTCCTTTATGTTGGGTTATTTATTTTCCTCCTAGTGGAAAATAAATGTGTGTTTTTAATGAATTAACTTGCAAACTTAATATTAAGGACATAATGTTTCCTATAAGATTGTGTACTTAATAGATGCATTACCTTTTCTCTTTAAACCTTTTGTGAAATTCCTAATTGCGAATACAATCGCTTACTCATAAGACAAACTTCTCTGAGTAATTGATTGCTTTAAAGCAACACTTACAACTTTGATTTTCCCTTAATCATTTTAACCTACAATGGTATTTAGTAATTTATTTTGCACTTTAGCAATATTGAACAATTGATGTGCAAATGCTACATTATATATTATGTCACACACTAAAAATGTATTGTCAAGCCAATACTTTGTATACTGTATGCATTATTATTTTAATAAATTCAAAATATTTAGAAAATTTAAAATTTAATATAGACATTATCTCTCATATTCAGTGACCTACTTTCATTGCTAATAGAGTAGTTTTATTTTGTTCTTTCCTAAGTGACTGCCTTTATCAATTTGGCTGACTTCATTATATTTTTGTGTGTCTTTTTAAAATTGGGAACTTGAAAATTCTAAATAAAGATAAAGAAAATCATCTTACCTACAAATGACTTTTCTTTTAAAATCAAGTGAATGTTTATTTGAAAGTAATTGTCAATCATTCTTCATAAATGAAAGGCAAGAGCAGTCATTTATATGATGAGTAACATATCAGTAAGTTAAAATTAGTGTTTGTTTAACCTTTTACTTTCTTTGAAGACATTTAAATATTCACAATAACTAGAATAAATAGCAAGATTATTCCCATATTACTATGATAAACTGTATTTCTCCAGATGAACTATTTATAAACTATTTAGATCATGGATTTCACTGAATTAATAATGCACAAGGATATAGCTGAGCGTCAGTACCGTTCAGTGATTTGCAAGAGAAACAAATACCCTTTAAACTTATGCACACTTCTATAAAATTAATGCATATCAATTTAACAGAGGAAGAATAAGCAAATGCAAATTGCTTTTAAGCCATACCTTGTGCAGGTCTGGGTATATAATGCACATTATTATATAGGCAGGTACACATTAACAATATGATTATGGAAATGTAACTATACTCAGAAAACTGACATAATTGCATTTAATTTGCTTGGGTAAAAGTTTATCTATTCATTGTTCATGGGATTATTATTTCCAGATTGTGTCCTATAGGTAGTGTCTTCTTTCCACTCTGAGGTCATAAAGGAAAGCTTTGAAAATTTAAATGGAGTGACTTAACTTGGGTAATATTTGAGCGAGGGTTTAAATATTAATACAATAGCTTGGGTCTGAGGAATTGAGATGAACAACATGAAAAGGGAAAAAATCCAAGTGTGTCGAAGAGGTCCATGTGATTCTGCTAACAATATCATTTGAACAGAAAGCCATCCTTCTGAAATGTCACATAGTGGGGGGAAGGACTAATGATAAAATGAATTTTCTTAAAATAGCTTTCTAATATAAATTTTGAAAAAAGCATAAAATACTAGCTTGCATTAAAATGCTATGCTAAAATTATATGTCAACACTGTAGAAATTTGATTAGAAACTTGCTAGTAAAATTTACTACAATTTATTTGGCAATCTATCATGAAGTTAGGCATGAGAGAACAAAACCAATCCGTTGAGTTAATTGCTACGAAACTTGCTATTGTGTGACTTTTTCTTTTTTAAATTTGAGATTCTGATAATCAAATATCAATATAGAAATGCATGGGCCCATGATAAGGAAAACAACTTGAAAAAAGTTTAATCTGAACTTTTCTTTTCCTGGATTTAGCTATAAATAACTTTCTAATATGTTTTTAAGAAAATGATTCCAGGGGATACATACTATTTGCTGTCCTCATCAGTGATACTAGATCATTCATAATTTCAGTGAACACTTGAATTAAGAATTGACCTATATATTGAAACAGAAACTTTATAAAAGTTGCATAGAATTCTATTAAAATCTTATGTCTGTTTACATGACAGACCAAGAAAGGACTCCCAATGGGAAATCAGCTACTTTTCATGACAAAATAGGATTATTAAAACTATGTATTATTAGAAAAGTTCCCATCCCAGGTAGATGATATAATGGTAAATAAAAATAACTTTGAAAAGAGGTTAAAACTTGATATAAAGTGAAGTGTTTACTACTATTAGGTCAATCTCTTTTAGCATTAGTACTCTCTTTAAACGCTTTTATATCTGAAGGAATCTGAGGCAGAATGCATCGCTTATTCATCAGCAATAATATAGTAAATAATTTTCTATCAAACAGTATTTATAAATTAGATTAACATTTACCCATAGAGCTCTTTACGTTGGAAATGAGAGTTTTCAAAATGAAAGAGAATAAAATTAAATCTGCATATTTATATACTACTTATATGGGGAGACTTTTATTGAAGTGGCTGGGATACCATTTCTATGAAATGTATTTCTCTGAACATAAATCTTCTAAATACTGGAGGAGACCATGTGATTGTTAAAGCTTGGAAGTAAGACTTTCAGATAAATACTGCATGCTTCCCTTTGAATATTAAGCAGACATTAGAGAAAATAAACATTTAAATAATGAACTTTACTCTTTTTAAAAATTACTATGAATTGGCATCAGTTTTCACATATAAACACATCCTCAAATAATATATTGTGATTGAAACATTAATAGAGAACTAAACTATCATATAATTTGTATAGGTGTTTTTTGTTTTTTTTCTTGTGTGTGTGTGTTGTTGTTTTTTTGGAAGAGGGTTTACATTTGCTTTTAATAGCATGTCATCACGCTACACTAAATAATTGAATGCATTACACATTTTTGTAATTTAATAGCTCTTCTAAAAGCTCTCCCTTACCTCCTCCCCAAGTTATAACTGCGTTATTTGCCCGGAGGTAGGAGAAACCTTAATTTCACTATTTTATAACCCACAACAGTTAACACTTGACCCAGGTCATTAACAGGATTATCAGCAAATTTGTTTAAGCTTTTACTGACAACCTGAATTGCTATGATAATATTTTGATTGTGCCGGAAAGAAACTTCTTATAACCTCTCAAAATCTATAATGAAATTAATTCAGTCTGAATCTATATCTTCCCAAAGACTAACATTGATAATGATGATTCAAGTGAGGAAAATATCAACTTTGATACTTCATTCTCCTCACTTTTATGTTTCATATATCACACCACTGTAGTCCTTGTCATAAATGACCAATTAAATACTTGTTTAAGTAGTGAATGTTTTGACAATAACAATATATTTATTAGTACAAACTTATTTAATGTAACTATCAACACTTTCAATTTCATATTTTTCATATTGATGGCATGGTTGATATCATTTTTCTGCCTATTTTAAGATATAAAGTCAAATGGATATATTAAGAACTAAGAAGCAACTGGAATTTTTAATACACACATATAATAAAACACCATTGCCACTTGTTAGATCATGGTTGCATTTATATAATGTTGTCTTTTCCATGAAACACTGGAAATTAGGAGCTACAATGAAAAACATTTCAATTTAACATAAAAGTTTTAAACAAAATGTACATAATCGAAACTATAAAAGTGTTTTTAAACATTGTTAACTTTGTTTAGAAAGTTTCATATGTAGTTTTTTATTATTTGTATATAATTAGGGTTTGCTTCTTGTTCATTTAAACAATTTAGTAGTTTCACCTTGACTCTGAAGAAACTTATCTTTAGAGGATGAATTTAGCTAGATATTTTATCATGTTTATATATTATCCATGTTTTAATACTCAAATGTGGGTGTGTTCTTAGGGTTCTTCAATTTAAATAGTTTATTTTCTCACAATAACTTTCTTTATTAAGATTCCTAAATATTAAAATTGTTTCTGAAACTTTGAATTTTTCAGAAATAAAATACTTGCAGTTTTTAAATATCAAATAATCAGTTACATATGCAAAGAATCTTTAAAGGCAAAACATATTTCCACAGTATATTTGATTTACTAACTTCAACGCAAATGGAAACAGCAAGAACTGTTCTTGAGAGGTACATTTTCCAAGTCATAAAATCTTCCAGAAAATATTAATAAAACTTTCCACAAATCATCAGAACTTGATAAGTTTTTACAGACATTCACTTACTAAAAAATCTGTGATGTGGGTTACCTTTGATTTTAGTCAT